TGCTTGCCCCCCCTCCTTGCTGCTCGGCCCCGGGACCCCCGTCCCACCCCCAGCTGCTCCGCCAGCACCGGGCACCTTGCCCCCATCCAAACCCCTTCCCCTCCTGGAGAGCTGGGCGCTGCCCCGTCTCTCCCCCTCCCATGTCCCCGAGCCTGGACCCAGCGTGGGGTGCACCCGAGGGTCCTTCCCCTGCTGACCACCCTGACCCCAGCCCCCTTCTCCCCCAGGCCTGGTTCCTGCCCCCGGGATCTCCCCCAGACTCTGCTCCCAGCACCCCGGGGGGTCTCGCCTGGGTGGAAATCCTGCCCCTGACCCCTCCCGGTTTGGGCCGCCCGTGGGTGCTGTGTCCTGGTCCCCGGGGAGAGGCTGGCGGGGGCGCTGCCACGGGGAGCTGGGGTCCACTTGTCCTCCCAGCATTTCGGTGACACCTTGGCCCCCTTTCACGGCCGGTTTGTGGAGCACCTTGGTCTCCCGTTGAGGCCGTGACTTTGCTTGGTGCCCCAGCGCAGTCTCGCTCTTCCCCCCGGCCCCTCCAGCTCGTTTGGGGCTGGTGGTGCTTCATGGAGGTGATGCCGGGGAGCTGGGGCAAGGGGCACCATGACTTTGCCCCCCTCCCCCCCCCCAGTGCCCGCTCCCAGCGCGGCGGCGTTTCATTCCCCTGTTCTGGGTGACGTGAGCTGGGTAGGCAGGCGGAGGGGACGGGGATGCTGTGACAATTGACTTTGTGGGGACCCAGCCGGTTTGCCTCATGCCCGGGGGGCACCTTCCTCCGCTTCCTCTCCACTGCTTTGATTTCTCATCCGCGCTCCTGCAGGCGTAGGGACCTTGAAAGGAGGTGAGCCGGGCTCTAATGCCCCCGCTCGCTTTATTCCTGCGTGGCCTGGATGCTCGGCACCGGTTTTTGTTTGGCTCCGTTCAAATCCGCTCCCAGCCGTGGGTCTCGGAGCAGCGGTGTTGTCTGAGCCCCAGCTGCGCGTGGATGGAGTTCCTTTGGGGCTTGGGCTGTGCCTGGCCTCCCCACACCCTCTCCCAAGCTCCCAGTTCTGCCCAGTTCCTCCCGGTGGGGATGCTGATCCCTGGGTTTTGGGGGCTGCCCTGCAGCCTGGGGTGTACAGGAGTCCCCGAGAGCAACTGTGTCCCGGGGCTGAGCTCCCGTTTCCCCTCCATCTCCTGGGCTGGGCCAGCACCGGGCCGCTCGACGCTGCTCTCTGTGCCCCCAGGTTTTGCGGGGAGTGCCTGCAGCCCTGCCTCCAAGTGCCGTCCCCGCTCTGCCCGCTCTGCCGCATGCCCTTCGACCCCAAGAAGGTGGAGAAGGCTTCCAGCGTGGAGAAACAGCTTTCGTCCTACAAAGCTCCCTGCAGAGGCTGCAGCAAGAAGGTAAAGTTCGCGGAGGAAGGCTGCCTGTCCCCGTCCCGTGCGGGCATGGCTTCGTTCGGCCGCCGATCCCGCAGCTGTGGCGCTGGGGGAGGGAGGTCGCTTGCTTTCCGCAGTTGGGTTTGCAGGGTCCCCTGTTCAGCGGGTCCCCAAACTGCACCTGCGAGGTGTGGTGTCCCCTGTGTGTCACGGCTGCTGCCGACACGGCTCGGGGCTCTGCGGAGATGAAGGTGCTCTCTCCTCGCTGCCTTTGTCAGCAGACTGGAGCTATTATTAGACAGTGGGGACCTTCAAAAGCAGGCTGAGGTTTTCCTGCAACACAGGAGAGGCTGAGACAAACCAGCTCTGCTGCTGCTCCTAACGAGGGTAAGGATTTAAGTCTTGCTTAAGGTGCCGTGATCCCAACGGCCGCGGGGAAGCTGAACTGGCAGCGTGGCCTGGCCCAGCCCGGGGCGGTCTGGTCTGGGACGCTTCAGGGACTGGCTGTAAAGCCGCGATTCATGGCGCGTCTGCGCTGATCCGTTTTCTGGCTTCCGTTAACTTTGGGGATCTTCTTGTAACTCCCTGGCGGCGGCCCAGGAACGATCCCGTACGGTGTCAGAGCAGTCTGGGGTTTTCCGCCTGTCGGCAGTTCCTCTTTTGCAAAGGAAAATGGAGCTAGTGCAACAAAATGCAGCCTGGGTGGCTTGTGTGTGACCTCTGGGGACACGTGCAGCGAGCACGCAGCCCCAAACCTCCGTCCTGTGAGGAAGGACGGGCTGGTGCAGCGTTTTCACGCTGGTGTGGGTCATCCCACACAGACCGGTGTTCACTCTGACATCGGTTGACCAAAACTGCTCTCCCGAGCTGTAGCGGAGGCACCAGCGCTGTGTCTGGAAGGTGTCGCAGCCTCCGGGAACGTTTCTTCTCTCCTTGTTCTCCAGGTGACCCTCGCGAAAATGCGCTCTCACGTCTCATCCTGCGCGAAGGTGCAGGAGCAGATGGCCAACTGCCCCAAGTTCGTTCCAGTTGTCCCCACGTCCCAGCCTATTCCCAGGTACTGCCGCGTGTCAGGTAGGGAAAACGTGTCCCTCCTTGCAGGCTGCACCGGCACTCCCCTCCCTTACAAACCCTAAAATCCAAGCACGTGTTTTACTTTCCCCTGGGCGATCACAGGGAGAAACATCAGCACCTTCTCCCTCCTGGTATCTGCAGCCGCTGCACTGCCCTGTGTTTCAGAGCGCGGTGTGGGAGGAAGGACCGACCAAAACCAGGGTGGTTCAGCCTGCGGCTGGGGTGGGAACGGGCTGGTCTGGTTTCTGCTATGGGTGGGTATCGCAAAGCTGAGCGGGGGGTGGCTGGGTTAGTTTGGAAGGAGTCGATCCAGTCCCTTCCCAGGGGATCTGAGCTCGTCCTTGCTCTCTTTAGCAATATTCCCAATCGCTCGACGTTCGTGTGCCCGTACTGCGGGGCCCGGAACCTGGACCAGCAGGAGCTGGTGAAGCACTGCATGGAGAACCACCGCAATGACCCCAACAAAGTGGTGAGCGACCCCGGGGCGCTGGGACGGGCTGGTTCTGTGTGGTGTAGCTCCTGGAAATCGAAATACACCGTAGCTGATGCCGCACCCGAGGCCACCGGCACACAGAGCTGCTGCTGCACATAAAGTACAGCTGTATTTCCAGCTCATTTAGTTTGTTTTACATCCCTCTGACGGGAGGTGGGGACCTGCCTCTGTTTGCTTCGCTAGAGGCTCTCTGGAACGAGCTGCCTACATCCCCCTGTGCCTGCGACCCGGGTGGTGCAGGATTTCCTCTCCCCATCCCCGTTGGCTTGACCGAGGTGGGGAACTTGCAGGTCTGGCACCGTCTCGGAGGCGCTTGTGCATGAGCGGGTAACTTGTCAGCAGGCTAAAAGCAGCCTCGGCCACATGCTAGAGGCTCTGTGCACTGAGGGGTCTGCTTGGGGGAGGGTGGGGGGACCCCTATTTAGCATGTCCTCTGCGGGAAATCCTCTGTGAGAGAGGGGGGACCGCTACTCGCCTCTCCCTCGTGTTGTGGCTGCACCAGCCCCCTCCCCGCCCCCCGGGGGAGATGGAGGCGGAGGGGTCTGTGCCCACGAGTTACGGTTCCCCTTTGTCCCTGCCCGCTGCAGGTGTGCCCGGTCTGCTCAGCCATGCCCTGGGGGGACCCCAGCTACAAAAGCGCCAACTTCCTCCAGCACCTTCTCCACAGGCACAAGTTCTCCTACGACACCTTCGTGGTGAGTACGGCCCTGAGCCGAAATGGAGTTGTCTTCCCCGCGTCCCGCCCCGAGCGGCTGGGAGATGAAACCAGCCCTTCCCTTCCCGTGCCAGGACCAGCCCGTCCCGCTGTGCAGCCCCTCGGGAGGGGAAGGGGACGGTTTCTCCTTCACGGGCTTTGCGGGAGGCACGTGGCACACGCGTAGCCCCACTCGGGAGACCCCCACGGGTGTAGGGCTGGGCTCCCCGCCTGCCCCAGAGGGTGCTCGGGCTGGTCGTCATCAGACACACCAGGAAAACGTCTCTGAAGGAGGAGAGGGAAATGTTACCGCTCTCCGCGAAGATGGGTTGTTTCCTCCGTGTGTTCCATTAAGCTCTTCCTCTGAGGAATTGTAACACAAAAGCCCTTTTCTTTGAGGCTTCACAAGTAGTGGGAGGGGAGCAGCCCAGCCTCGCCGCCTGGGGGGTCTGGCTGCTGCACGTGGGGGGCGTCCATGGCCCCCCTCTCAGGGGGTTGCTGACCCCTCCTGTGTGGGGGTAAGGGTGTGATCGCCCAGCCTTGGCTGCAGGGACCGAGGGGAGGTTTAGGTAGCGTCCTGCTTTTATTGCAAGGGCGCTAGATTTCAGGGAAAGGAACCTTCAGTTATTTACAGAGAAATATCCCCAGTTCGGGAGCGATCGCTGTGTTGCACAAACCCAAACCGGAGTGCTGGAGAAGCCCGCGGGCCTTGCGAGAAAGCTTTGCCCTTCGGCCGCAGCTTCTTGCATGGGCATGTTTCATCCCTGCCCGCTGCCAGGTCTCAGAGCAGGGCTGACGTTGGCAGATTCCAGGCAGGAAAGGGACCGTGGGCACAAAGGACACCCCAGAAAGCATGGCATTCCTGGGACCTGTTTGCCGGAGGAGGTGGAGGCTCACGGCCTCGGGGGGGGACACGATAGGAACAGGAAGGGCTGCTCGCCATGGCCGCCACCCTCTGCTTGATGGAGGCTGTGCGGCCCGGCCGTGCCAACTCTCCTGACCGCCCCTCTCTTTTTTTTTTTTTTG